TGTGATACGTGTGTACCGAGTCTAGAATTTATACCCGATTCACAACTCACCGCAAGGATACGGATCGTCGTAACACGGGGTCGAACACAAGGACCAGTTGCTAAATCTAAATCTAATCGAGACTAAATCAAAGCAAGTAGAAGTGGAAGTGACGGTGGAATTATGTATAAAGAATAGAAAATAAGGAAGCAAAGCAATAAAAACGTGTAAACTAGCAAGTAAGGATGACCGTGGGTGTCGGGACCGTATTCACGTGTATGGGTATATGCTAAGCATGCGAGAATCACGATATTGAATCTGTATTCGGGAATCGTCAAGCAACAAAGATAGAGAAATCACCTCCCGGCATATAACTCACTATCTAAAGTTCTCTAAATCCATATCCCTATGTGATTTATCAAACTAGATGCATGAAGAACACTATCATCAATCCTAGATCGATCAAACCATATTCCTATGTGAATAATACGATCTATCCTATCGATTTTGATCCGAAACTAAACCCATATTCCTATGAAGTTCAGAATCTGAAACAATTGGCCAAGGGGTCAGCAAACACCAATCGAATAAAGCACAAATCGATAAAACCGAAACAAATCCAAATCGCAACCAAGTTAGGGTTCAAACATACCCAAAACACAAACGAATCCCTAACCCACAGCAGTGGATCTACTCACGGTTCATGGAAAAACACTGAGAAAAACTAGAAACAGAAAGAAAAGAGGGAGAAGAAAGGCTCATGTCGACAGCAATGCGTTCTTCACGTTCCAGCTCTCCTTCTTCTTCCCGAAATCACGTTTTACTCCTATTTCTCTCACCAAAGCTCTCCAAAGTCTGTGTAAAGTCTGTCCCCCTCTTTTGGACGTCTGTAGAGTCCTTTTATCAACCCTAGGCGGCGCTCCCGAAGTCCTACTCCCGTTCCAATTCTGAAAATTCGATCTGGGCTTTTTTCTGGGTTTTGACTCGGACCGAGTCAGTACTCTGACTCGACCGAGTCAAAACGAAACATAATGAATTCGGCCCAGCCCAATCTTCTGACTCGGGCCTTCTGACTCGGGCATGTTGACTCGGGATACACTGACTCGGACGTTCTGACTCGGTCTCCTCGTAACAGGCTTGAATTGGGCCCTTTTCAGCATGTTGACTCGGCCCAATTTCTGTTGTTGACTTTGGCCGAGTCAAGGTAGGAAGTTCTTGATGTATTTCAATCCTTTTAGCTCCAGATTGCTTCCATCTTAGTCCAAATCTCATCCAAGACCTGTAATCCAATAAAAACACAACCAAACCGAGTTCCGTAGCCTAACGCGCCTATAATGCCTATAAATGAATATGATCCTCATATAAATACTATAGAAACGCCCTGAAAATATAGAGAGAATTAGGAGTTATCAAATCCCCCCAGACTTAAACCTTTGCTCGTCCTCGAGTAAAGAACGAAGGAATAAAATCTGCAAAACA